ATATATCTGATATAAACAAAAGCCGGTCCATTTGTAAGAAATTTTGCATACATTGCTCTATTTTTATATAAAGTCTTCATGCCAATTGGTCCCATGTTAGGTACGATTATTAGGACCGTTTGGAAATCACCTTAGACATAGAAGAGACGGACTCGACTGGTAGACACTAAGAGATCGTCATCAAAGAATTTTGTTTCTATTACCACATTACCGCTATTTACAAAAAAAAATATAATTAATAAACAGACAAAAAACATTAAAGATACATTCCTACTTACTTCAATACATTTGCTGGCATCATTTGACTTTCTGGTGCTGCCTGAATTAAGCTTTGCCATGTATTGGTGCTATTGGGAATGACAAATCCAAATTCAAAGAACCATTCTTCCAGACAACGCCCCTTGAACAGTACCTTTTGCTCCAGACGAAACCTTTCCATTGGTTCTGCAGAACTGAAATTAATCTCTCTCGATACTGCGCGACATCGCAGAATTTTCTTTGGTACACGCGCTTCATGTTCTACATCAGGTACAGATCTATAATCAGACAAAAAAGCAATGATTCAATCTATCACATAGTCTTCAATGAGATACCAGGTAAGTTGATTTCACTCACAGATCCTCATTACCCTGCCAGAGAATTTTCCCACTATCGGCATCGCGTAGATTCATCCAATTACTGATAAAATCATAATTAAGGACACATCCGTTTACATAAATTCAGTTTATTGTTAAGTTAGAACTCAAAGATTTCTGTCCTTTATAGCTGCTTAAAAAACTTTTCGCAATTTAAAATTAAATATATGCAATTAAATGTAAGTGAGGAAAAGAAGGAAAAAATATAAAGAGCAAATATCCAATTCAATTTTCATCCTAACCTACAATCCGCTCCGCGTGTCGCTCGAATGTGAAGAGCAATTAAATTAATTTTCAAAGGATACACTTGAAAGCCCTTAAGGATATCTTCCCCACGTGACGGCATACTTAAAATTAGGCACAATCACAGAATGAATTAACACGTTTCAATAAAACAGAAAGCACCGCGCGAACTATTGATCCGCCATGCCTCTGAAATTGTAAACATTGCCAATCTATCAACGCGACGCGACGCGACGCGACGCGACGCGACGTAGCGACGCAGCCATTGGGTCGGCTTTGATTAAATTTAAAAATTGCCAACTCCAAAATTTAAAATACAAATCATCCTGGAGCTAATTTTTTAATTATAAAATAATTTAATATTTTAATTAAAAATATTATTTAATTATTATTTAAAAATATATATCATATAAACAAATCATAATTTTTTTAAGATACTTTAAATTTTATAATTTAGAATTATAAGGTTTTTTTCACATTTTTCATCAAAATTCATTTAATTCATTCATTTAACAAAAAGTTGATAATCCTTTCAATTCAAATTTAATACTACCGTCTCATGTAAATAAATGCAGCATATGCGACGCGATATAAAGAAAGAAGAAGAGAGGAGATGCGTTTCCGGTTAAACCGCCAGTCGTCGACAATGGAAAATGGTGCGCGCCGCGAATCGCCGTGAATCGACCCGACCGTCATCGTCATAAATGGATGAATAGGAAAGCGCGCGACGCAGAAATTGCAAAGCGCCGGAGGTCCAGGATCTTTACGAGGATTAGAATGAAAAGCGGGAGGAATTATTTCTAACGAGAGATACCGCAATAGAGATAAATTCGCAACGCGGAACAAAAGAAAGAACGGAAAACATCCGGAATTCTCTCTCCTATTCTTCTTATGAATTCTTCATCGCAGAAATAAGTTTCTTCTCTGTTTATTCTAACTTTTAATTTTCGAGCAAAAACTTCTCATCGCAGTTATCGATTCGATAATTGCATAATTAATTAACATAGTTGGAATTTTCCAGGCATAAGGGAATATCGAGGATGAGCGATGGATAAACCGTGGAATATCGAATCTCTTTAATTGGATAATCGAATAATCAGAATTCAAGTAGGATAAATTAGAATGGACAGATGGATAAATGGAAGGATAGATAGAAGTTGATACACGAATAATAATTGAGATTTGGATGGGGAAAGAAGCATTCTCGCGGCAGATGGACTCACATGCGTCAGTGGGTCAATATAAAAAAGTAGCGAGTGATAGAATGTGAAAGAATCAAAGAATCGATGCCTAGCAAACTATGTGTTTGTAAGTATAATACAAAAGAAAACCTTGATACAGTCACAGATTAATAAAGTTTCAATTTAATAATCGATGGTTTTCATTCATAGACAATAGAAAAAATTTTTGTTTCGTAATTATTTAGACTTATTTAAACTACCATATAAATTATAAGAGTCTTGTCTTTCCGTCGTATCTTGCAATTTTTCTTTAGTATCTAAATTCCTATTTTTTTGAAAGAATTCGCTTCATAGAAAAATGGAAAAATGAAGAATAGAAATCTTCGGAAGTCATCGTGTGTCGAAAGGTAGCTTCGACAGCGATCAAATCTCTTGTCCCAGATATATAACGAAGATCTTTCACTAAGTTATTTCAAAGATTCTCGTGATGGAGAAAGGAGATGAATTACCAGATCGAAAGAACGGAAGGATTTGTATATATACGTTCGTTGACGAAGAAAATTTAATGTAGGTAAAAAGAAAATTTTTTCTTGGGAAAGTGAGCGCGCGATTAATTTCTTTTTTTTATAGACATTGCCCTCCGCCCGATTCGGCGGACGTTCGTTTGCACTCTTCTGCACCAATATTCAAGTTCCGTCATTGCATACACATGTATGTATGTATGTATGTATGTATGTATGTATGTATGTATGTATGTATGTATGTATGTATGTATGTATGTATGTATGTATG